TTAAAATGAAAGAAAGAAAAAAGTTACAGATAAAGAAATTAAAAATAAATAAAGAAAAAAGAACGTCTGAGAGAAAAGAAAAGAAGATACAGAAAGGAAAATGACAGCAGGAATAGAGGAATTATCGCAAAAACAGACATCAGCAAGGAAATAAAGGCGGTGAGAACAAGCTTTAAAAACAAAAAGAAAAGAAAAAAGAAAAAAAGAGTTAGTGATAGAGTGTGAAAATATAAGAAAAGGGGCGACAAAGAAAGAAAGAAGGAAACAAATAAAAAAGACAGAGAAACAGGCAAAAAAGATATTTTCAAGAAAGAAAAGAAACTTTATTATTAGGAAAATAATAGAAATAGATTAAAAAAAATTAGAAAGAAAGAAACGAAAAAAAATTAACGATCGATGGGTAAATAAAAGAAAAAAATGCGATAAATATATAAAAATAGATAAACAGCGACAAGCTTAATAAAAAAAAAAGAAAGAAAGAAAGAAAAACTCGCGACTGGGGTAAAAAGAAAGAAAGAAAGAAAGAAAGAAAGAAAGAAAGAAAGAAAGAAAGAAAGAATTCGCGTCAGGGGTAAAATGAATGAAAGAAAAGGCTACAAAAAAGAAGGAAACAAACAGCAAAGAAAGAAAGAAAGAAAGAAAGAAAGAAAGAAAGAAAGAAAGAAAGAGAAAGAAAGAATTCGTCTAGGGGTAAAATGAATGAAAGAAAAGGCTACAAAAAAGAAGGAAACAAACAGCAAAGAAAGAAAGAAAGAAAGAAAGAAAGAAAGAAAGAAAGAAAGAAAGAAAAGAATTCGCGCCAGGGGTAAAATGAATGCAAGAAAAGGCTACAGAAACAAAGGAAAAAAACAAACAGCAAAGAAAGAAAGAATGGGCGTCAGAGAGAAAAGAAAAGACGATAAAGAAAGAAAGAAAGAAAGAAAGAAAGAAAGAAAGAAAGAAAGAAAGAAAGAAAGAAAGAAAGAAAGAATTCGCGTCAGGGGTAAAATGAATGAAAGAAAAGGCTACAAAAAAGAAGGAAACAAACAGCAAAGAAAGAAAGAAAGAAAGAAAGAAAGAAAGAAAGAAAGAAAGAAAGAAAGAAAGAAAGAATGGACGTCAGAGAGAAAAGAAAAGACGATAAAGAAAAGAAAAAAATCGTTATGACAGTAGAAGTAGAAAGAATCACGTCGGTTGAAGTGATTAAGCTTCAGGCAAAGTTACTGAATAAAAGACAAAGAAATATAAAGGGAAAGAGAAGAAAAAGTGAATTATTGGATGAAAGAGAGAAACTGATAATAGACGAAACATGGAAGAAACAATAAGTGGTTGAAGGCACAATGGCGGGAAATGAATACCAGAAACATGAAATTTACTTGACTGTTTACACTTTGTTTATGCTTTATAAAACGTTAAATGAATCGTAAGGCGTTAAGTTAGCATTTTTGTTGCACAAAAGCAACGTGTTTTATTATTTCTCAGATCGGCAATTGCCCTACGGTCATGAGATGGCCATAAATAAATAAATAATGAATAAAAAAATAAAAGGAAAATTGGTTTGAGCTTAGCAGGAAATATGCTTAAAATTAGGATATAGATCAGATGATAACAAACATTTTACAATACTTAATTAGGAAGATAATAAACGATGTTATAGAAACGAAAATATCAAAATATAGGTTCTTGTGCAACAAACACATTACACACACACATATATATATATATTTACATGCATACACACATATACGCTTGCGATCACATCACGATTAAACACCAGTCTCATACGATCACCGAAGTTAGGCAACGTCGATCCACGCCAATATATAGATGGGTGACTGTTTGGGAATAACAGAGCCGAGTTCCAATTTCAGTTGTGTTCCATATATTCACTTATGCACAAATATGAATCCAACTCTTCTTCCCACAGCTATGGTATTATGGTCCGGTTCCTTGTACCACGGTGATAGTCCAAAGTAGAACCAATAAAGAAGAACTTGAACACGGATATGGAATAACACAGATATATTACAAACAGGAATATATACAGAGAAGTAGAAAGAAAGAAAAATCAGGTTTAGTAGTAATTGTCTGAACGCGACTCTGTTCTGGACTGCCTCTGACTCGACTGACTGACTGACTCGCTCTGACTGACTGACTGACGGATCTCAATCCAGACGTCAGACTGCACAGTATTTAGTCACCCCCCCCCCAACGAGGGTATCATGTGGCACAAGGCCGGTTTAACGTGGGATATCCGAACCCGTGGACTCGGCCAAAAATATGCCCTTTGAACCCGTATAAACGGTTTCAGGGTCGGTTTACCTCCCCGAAAGAGACTGCGCCCTTCGGCGCAGCCTCGTTCGCGTTCCTCCTCGCCCGAAGGCAGAGAGTTCAACCGATCAGCCGGACAGCCGGTCGCCCGGCTTCGGATTGAACTCTCCGCTTCCTCTTGAGGCGCTGTATTTATTGCGTATGGAATAGTCCATTATGTTATTATGGATAACGTCCCATAACATGTGGGTTAAATACTAAAAATTTTATCAGTAAATCATTACCATTTCCCGGCTTTATAGCGTTGAAACCCCGTCTCCCGTACGATCATCGAAGTTAAGCAACGTCGAGCCACTTCAAAACCTAGATGAGTTACCGCTTGGAAATACCAGGTACTGTAAGCTTGGATGTGCGGGTGGTGTAATGGATAATGGCTCAGAATTGATAATCGGAAGGTCAGGTTCCAATTCCTGTTGGGTTCGTTATATTCACTTACACACAAATATCTTTGGGACAAATATGAATCCACCTCTTCACCCCCCTCTATGGATTAATTAGTAAAAGTTTTATCAGTAAATCATTATCTTCTCCCGGTTTTACGACCATAAAGCGTTGAAACGCGGTTAAGCAACGTCGAACCTCGTCAGTACCTAGATTGGTGACCGCTTGGGAATACCAGTGGGTGTAAGCTTGGATGTTCGGGTGCTGTGATGGATGATGATTTGGAATAAGAGATATTTGTTACTATTATGGCCTGAAAAATCAAAAAGAGCCAATGATTTTGTTGACGCAGGTGTTGACGACCTGTTCATTTTCATTGTCTGTCCGATTGTGAGAATGCCACATGTTTGTGTGTAGAAGAGAAAAGTGGGGATGATTCTCATTAGTTTAGAATGAGTGAATTAATGATAATTATAATTGTTATAATTATTTCATTACAATTATTTTAACACTATAATTATTTTTATTTATTTATTTATGTATTTTTATGGACACGACAAAGTGACAGTATAATTATTTTTTTATTTATGTACTTTTTATGGACACAACAAAGACCTCTTAATCCCTACTATTGTCCATATGTAGAACTAAAAATTATTAAACCATTAAAAAATATTCGAAATTTGATATACCATTGTTAAGTTTTTTATGAAGATGTATGTAATATTTTTAGCAAGTAATTTTAAGCGATATTTAACAAATGTTCGACATTTTATCTGATTCGTGTCGATTCAAAATAAGAATTCATATAGTTAACGTTATTTAAAATGAATAATGTATGCATTTTGTAAAGCAATGGAACCGACGTTCTTGCACAAAAATTCCGGAAGATTATAGGGAAAATAATCTCGCACGAGGAAAAATAAGCACACTTTTCAATGACGAATGGTTATTTCTGCGTGGGACGGTATTAGCAGTCTTAGCAGAGACAATTGGGAGCACTGACGGAAAATCATTCTACAGATACTGAACCGGAAACGCTCTTCAGGGTAATGAAGATGACATCTTTTTTGAGGGAGTCGAACAAGATGAGTCCGTAAAACACACACACACACACACACTCATTAAAGTGAAGACATCTGCAATATTGACGGTAATTATAAATGCCAGGATGTTTATCTTTGATAAGTGAAGCAGGATATAGTAGGCTAAATATCGATGGGGTTAAATCATTTTAAAGAATGCAGGTATTGGTTATGGATTTGAACAATTTGTTATAAGTTAGGTAGTGTGAACGGCAGATATAATTTCCATTCGCTCATACGACCCCGAAAGATCGAACGCACGTAGCTGGAAATAAAGTTAATTTTAGTTATCTTGTATTATACGCACCCCTAATTATTAGGATTATAATCTTGATAAAACTGCGCATTATACACGAATGATTCCGGTAATAATTATAATGTTTTTTATCACAAAAATTCCTACGAATATTAAGTATCTTCATTCAGTTAAGCAGGAAATGCAACAAAATGGCCTATGGAAAGTACGTCAGAACGAATTTGTTTACAGCGCAATCAGAGCAGACCCATATTCTACAAATATATCATGGCTCTCCACAGCTTCTTATTATTTCTAGCTCTTCGAATTGTTTGACTATTTTACTATCGTTCCCAATCCATTTATACTAGCTCATTTGGTAGGTTAATTCCTATTTCTTTCTGTCGTAATTAACTTGGACTTGTCTTGTGAGTGTTAAATTTTCCAAGAATTCTTTCTTCAATATGTTTCCAAAAAATCTCTCTGTCTTTCTGATTCTAAGTATTAGTGTTTCTTTTGTTTCCATTTTATTTAAAGATTCCTCGTTGCTCATAGGTTCTGCCCATGTTATTCTCAGTATCCTTCTGTACAATCACATCTATTTTACTTCAGTTCCGTTCTTCCTCTGTGGGGACATTGTCCAACGTTGACTTCTATATCGAAGGATTGATATTAAATAATATTCCAGAACTCTTTTCTTAGTTTCTAACAAAACTTTACCAGATCTTTGGTATTTTGTTTGGATTTTAGAATGCATCTTTTTCTATAAGAATTCATCTTGAGAATTCCGTATCACGTTTTCAACCTTCGGTTAAAACACTTCCCAAATATTTAAAATGCTGTACTTGTTTTATTTTGACATCTCTAAATTGTAGATTACATCGCGAAATTTTATTTTCTTGCTGACAACCATATACCCCGGCTTTTTCAAATTCATGATTATCTTTTTTCTTCTCGTTATTATTTTTAATCAATTCTCTCCAAGCAAGGCGATAAGGCCACTAAGACACTACTTAGAGTTAAAGAGAACGAAAAGACATTAGAAGGAATCGGAAACCCAATCCTAAACTGGACACAGGGGATAAGTGTCTACTCCTACTCATAAGACAGGGGAGGAGTGTGTACCGGGTGATAAATACTATTAGGTTGGTGCAAAAATAATGACGTAATAATGTCGTTTTTTGACGTATATTTTAACGTCAAAAAACGACATTATTACGTCATTATTTTTGCACCAACCTAATACTTTATCTAGATATTTTTCTTTCTCAGTCTGCCACCAACACATCTTATTCATCGTATCTTATTCTGTTAAGATTGTCAACACCAATAATGAATCATTGTAGGATCTCTAGTTCTCTTAGGATTGCCTCTCGGTGAAGGTTGAAGAAATCCAACGAGAAAACACATCATAGTCTTGCGTCCCATTCACTTCCGGAATACTTTCTTCTGTTCGCATCCAGGCAGTTTTCTCCAATATGAGCTCACGAATATTACACTAAATATCCGCATTTTCACAAATATATGTCCACTATTTGTAACTATTTCACGGTGTTTCATTCACAAAAAATATAATTTTTAGAGAGGGGCAAACATAGAAACTGTGACTACAATTCGACGAATTACCATCGGTCAGGAGAAACAATAGAAATACAGTATATATATATATATATATATATATATATATATATATATATATATATAGGTTATATATAACGACGTAAACGCGTTCTTTACATCATTATTTTGAAATTATCATTTTTTATATCAATATATATATATATATATATATATATATATATATATATATATATAGCTATATCTATTGCGGCATGCTAGTACCAAAACTAGTGTTGAAGTAATCGGTGCTAAGAAAACCCAGCAAGGATTTGAACTCGATCCGTTGATTCAATTTCGACATCTTTCGACAAAATATCGTATTTAGCGATGCTAAATATGATAATTTACCGGCTTTAATGGCATAACTCGCGCATCTATGGATAGAGAAAATTATTTACCAGTCTCTACGACATATGACTTAAAGGAATCATGGCTATTTAAGAACTTCACTTTTAATTCAAATTTGAATTTCCAATGTATATGTGTCTGTCTTGAACGAAGACAATATAAATCTTATTTCAGCCCAGAGATAGATAGACGTTATTCTACGCCGTACTTATTTAATCATATGCTGTAAAAATCTCAACAAATTATCTGTAAGGTCAATTTCCGTTGGATGGCTTAAGGATCTGCTGAGTCGTAGAGTCAGCTATATTGACATATAAAAGTTATAAGTAATGAATATTTGGCAGTTATTAAGGATTATGAACGGTGTTTTTCTTTGTTCATCCTTTGAAATAAGAAGAATCTCCAATCCGAAATTCAAAACATTCGTTTCGGTGTCTTCGCTCAAATCTCATCAGCGAAAGCCGCAAGTACCTTCTGACACAAATATTGTAGCGAAAAAGATGAACTGTTTAAATTTGAAGAGATCGTTCAAAAAATCTTATTATATGGGATAAGAAAGAAGATTTCAAAATCCGATAAAATGGTGGGGAATGTACCGAAAAAAGATGAAACGTGTGTTGGAAATGGACAACACAGTATTAAAAATTAAATACGAAGGGAAAAAAAAAGAAAAAAAAACAAAAAAAAAACAAACGAACGATTTTCAATGAACAAGACAAATTTCCAAGAAACACAAATATGGTTACTGCCCCGGGTGCAAAATGAAAACTGCGCTTACCTTTCAGCGTTTGTAAGCATGCATCAGGGAATATATGCACGTGCAAGCGAGAAAGGGAAGAAATGACCGTCTGCCCCATCCAAATGGCCCTATAAGGTATCCAAAATGGCGTCATGGATAATCTCGTTGGCGACATCATTCTCGCGTTATAACAACGCCCCAGGTGACGCGGACCTGTGAATTTTGATGGCTTCACGAGTTCAGGAGACTATATTCTCATTTACACTTTTTGTGCTTTCTTGCAATTTCTTTCTTTTTTATATTAGATTTTTACTTTTTGTTTCTCTATCCTCTTTTCATCTTTTTCTTTTTCAGTTTTCCTTACTTTATTCGTTTTTTTCCTTTCCGAATCCTATTGTTTTTATATTACTTTCTAAATTTCTTGATTGTTTACACTTTGTTTTAACTTCTTCGTTTGATATATTTTTTTTTATTTTTTTCATTTTAAAATTTCTTATTTTTTCCTTCTTTTTTTTTAGACGTTTTTTTTTGTATTATTACCCCTATTTTTTTACGCCTTTCTTCCATTTTACTTATCCGGTTTGCATTTCTTTTGATTTAATTCTTTCTTTTCTCGTTGACAGCATTTATATCAATTATTCTTTCTTTGTTTCCGCCATCGAAATTTTGTATAAATGGTTTTCATTGTAGCCTTTCCGTTAAGTTCATAATATTTTGTCATTCTCTCAATTACATTTCTCATCTCTTTTCTATATTTATTGGAATGATTTCCATAATTGTTTAACCATATTTATTTTTTTTAATTTCTCCATATTTTAAAAATTAATGTTCATTTCCTCCCTTTATTAGACTATCTTCGATCAGTTCATTTTTTTACCGTCTTTGATCATTAATTTTTTATTCTACTGTTTTCGTCCATATTTCTTTTCTACTTTCTCGTCAATGTTTTTGTCTCTTTTTCTTTTCTCTTCCAAACGCTTTTTTTCTTTTCAATCTTATTCTTTTTTAAATCCTACTTTTCCCCCAGTTCCGGTCATCTCCTGCCAATGATAACTTTCCATCTTCTTGGGAATATCCACTATTTCCCGGGAGCTACGAAACCATAACAAACCACGGGACAGAGTCAACTCAACCTCATTTCACCTTACTTGTCCTAGTTAGAGTTCCACCAAATAGCTTTTTTTTCCTTTTATTTTTCCTTTCTTCATTTTATTTTATAATTATTATTGTTATTGCATCCGTATTCATCTAACTCCCTAGACATTGCTCGGGGCTGAACTTTATAGTGGGACCTTGGACGTTTCCCGAAGCCATTTCAGCAAAACAAGATGGAGTTTTAATGGCACCCAATCGGATTAAAATTGTGTGATATGAAGATTATTGACACAGGATAAGCCTGAGTGTAATCTTAGCCAAACCACAACCCCAAACCCAAGTTTAAGCCTAAACACATCAACTAGCTATGTTATGATATTCTCTTTTCTTGTTTCTTCTCACACGTGTAATATTCAATTCATCTTCTAGTAAAATCGTTTATTCTTAAGCATGTTCAATGACACAAGCGTGGATGAGAGATGATACAATGATTAGTTATCTGCAACCGCAAAATTTGGACAGGATGCTCGAATATTCAGTCCTTCATTCTCATATACATACATATCTATAATTTTCATCATGATATCTATATTTTCAATCTTGAATTATTAAATAAGTTTATAACATCTGCTTTGACAATCATCCAGTGACTTTATTTCCGTTTTATGAATGAACAACTCATAATCAAACTTGAACACTGACCACTTAAACTTATACACATCTTTTTTTTCTGGTATAATGTTTGTTAAGTTCTTTTCGTTATCACAAATCTTTTTTGTGGTAGATGGAAATATTTTGTGTCAGGAAATTTTAAGCATATTTATTTCAGATTCAAAGAAAAATTATACGTAATTTCTTGTGCATTGTGCGTACAAATAAGCGAAGAAAGAGAAAGGTCTAGACTATACATACATATATATATATATATATATATATATATATATATATATATATATATATATATATATATTTTAAAGATATTTTTTGTAGGTACAAAATTTAATGATCGAAATAAAAGTATAAAATTTAATATTACAAGACATATTAAAACAATATTAAATAATAATAAAAAAAAAACAAAAAAACCTCAAAAACAAGGGGGGGGAAGCAACCGGTTTCGCTCCCGCTCGTCAGGCTTCCACGGGAGATTCAATATTAAAACAGAGAAATGTACAATATATATATATATATATGTATGTATGTATATATATATATATATATAGTCATCCATAGCACTTCAATGTGCCAAGACGTACAACAACTCTTCAGTGTGATTAGACGTCCGAATGCTGCAAGCTCGAATCGAAACGCGACCCCTAGGCTATCATCGGCAGAGAGGAAGGCAAATTGAAACTTTTTTTTTTTTATGCGGAATACGTCAGTGACCGGGGAGCACAATTCACTTCGATTTTGATATATATATATATATATATATATATATATATATATATATATATATATATATATATATATATATATATATATATATATATATATATATAAACGCATTATAAAACGATAGAGCAGATTTCGCACATCTAATAAAAACAAATGCTAAGAGACAGAATATCACATTCAACACATTACGATATAGAAAAATATTAAAAATTATCAAATAAATGAATCTCTCTTTTCAATTTTGAGGAACAGTTCTATCTATTTATTTCATATATAACTGCTTTATAATTATTACTATTGTGGGTCATTTTGGTTCTGATTATAACCGTAATAGTATTGGAACTGGTTGTAATTATTTTCTTTTCAAAACTCATGTATTGTTTTAATTAAATAACAGTTCGTGCTGGGTTTTTTTTTTTATTATATATATATATATATATATATATATATATATATATATATATATATATATTCATACACGTTTCATTGAATAATATAGACAAGTGTTGTCTATTTGTTTTATGTAATTTTTTTTCGTAACATCTGATAATTTTAATAACATTATCGTTGAACGAAGAAAGAAATTCACAATATTGATCCATATATTTTTTTAATACAATCTAAGCTTTCGGCTTACTTAAGCCATTATCAAAGATATCAATTACAACATATTAAGCAATATACAGACAAGACAGTGGTGATAGTCTGCCAATGTTAAAATAGATGATTTCTAAGCAACGATAAACACGCGCATGTAAGACACTAGAAGCGAAAATCGCACCGCATCTCATGACGTCACACATGACCACACGAGAGTGAATTGGAGAAGTATGAAATATGGAATGCCGTTGGTATAAACCAATGGCTTCTGTTACCAATTATAGACACTTAAGAATATTTGTAGAGATGCCATAATTGATTTTGTTTTGGTTGACTTTCAACTGTTTGATGTATAATGCTTCAAGGATTTTTAGTTTTTGTCTGTTTTCATGTTGAAGTATAATTGTGTTTTCGACAAGTATTTTACGGAATTGTGTGTGCGGGCAGGCATGTTGTTTTAAATGCCTAAAAATGTTAGAGTTTTCATTCAAATGTAGTGTCAAGTGTCGTTAAAGCGAGTTTGTGGTGTGACCAACATAAATATTATTTAATTCGTTGGAGATACACTCTCCCAAAGAGCACTTGAATTTATAAACTATGTTGGTTTTTTGCAAATCGCTAACTGGGGAGAAGAATCATTGCGAAGTATTAAGTTGGATATACTAGATTTAGTGTAGTATATGATTAATTTAATTTTTTTGCTAGGATCTGTAGTTGATATATTACAATTTACTAAATTTTTTAGTATATTTTCATCTTGTTTATAATTAGTATGCATTTGATTACGATATAGGAGATTAATATGTTTGAGATCAGTAGAAGCAGTATTATATACAATTTGCTTAGTATTGAGATTTCTAAGAAAGCATCTTATTTGTTCATCAACTATATAGTTTGGAAAGCTATTATTAATAAGTGTATGTTTTATATTCTTTAGTTCACTGTAAAAAATCTGTTTTGTGGATGAATTAGTTTCTGCACGATGTATTAAAATCTTTATAATTGCTATTTTGTTGTAATATGGGCATTCACTCATGTAGTTAAATGTAGATGAATTTATGCTTGTAAGTTTTTTGTATTGCGAAATAGTAAATTTGTTACTATTTGTGTTTATCAATATGTCAAGAAAGGGGATTTTATTATTAGTATTGAGTTCATATGTGAATTTAAGGACAGGATTATTTTGGAAACGTTTTTGAAGATGAATTATTTCATCTGTATTATTAACTAACATAAGAATATCACCAACGTATCTTAGGTAGATTGATGTTTTTTTAAATTTGTAAATATCTTATTTAGTATGTTCTTTTATTATTCATTAGATATATTTAGTACGTTTGTTCTTAATTTCATATAATTTATTGATGTTGTGTTGTGTGTTTTATGCTTAATGCTTATAAGATTTGTAGTTGCTTTTATTTACAGTATTATGACATAGTAATCATGCCTAATTATTGTTGGGGTTGTTGATATACGATTTAATTGGACAATTATCAAATAAATGGGACATTAATCGGCGTGATAATTGTATTAGTTGTGTAATCAATGTGTTCAGTGTTTGAATTGTCATTAGATTGATATTCTTCCAATTGAGGAAGAGAATTAATAGACATAATTTGTTGGGATTCCTTTTTGTAGGTTTCATAGCACATGGTGAGTTTAATATTTTTGTCGTTAGTCGATATGTTATTCTGCATTAGTTTTTATGTTTGTCTAGTTTGTGATTATTGACTAGATGGTTTCTGTAAAAGAGTATAATGGTGTTTTTTTTTTATAATTGCAGTTACAATTATAAAATTCATTGACTATTACAATTTGTGATATACGTAAAAGTCATATTGAAAATTCATTGACGACTACAATCTATGAATTAAGTAAAAGTGATATTTATTGGTCGCTTTTGCATATTTAACATTTTTTGTTTGTTGTATTCAGATTTTACTTTTCAATAGTATTTCATATTTATTTAAAAAAAATTTCTGCTTAATTTTTTACACGGCGGTTTATTTTTATGTACTTTTAATAAATATATGTGTTTCTGTGACGAACATGTATAATTTAGTGTAAAATTAGTGTAAATAG